ACTAGTGAAAGTGTGCTGTGTGTTCCTAATCCCGGATGGTGATGCAAAGAGACACAAGTTTTATACTAGTTCAGGCAATAGGTGCCCTACGTCCAGTCTAAGGGAGCGATCTTATATTCCTTGCACCGAGGTGCTTGTAGTAAGGGCTTACAAGCTGGGTGAGAGAGGGAGCTAGCCCCAGGTCTCTGTGAATTGCAGTGTGTGTTGCTTGAGATGTTGATCTCTCACGGCGAAGGAGCATGCGTGTTACAGAGTGATGTGCGTGGTTTTCACCGGTGTGTGTTATCTGATCCGATCTCCTCCCTCGGAGCGGCCCCGGTCACTCCCTTTTATAGCCGAATGGAGGCACAGGGGCGGTACATGTATTTGCTACGTGGAGTTCCTTCGGCAGGGGCGGCATGTCCAAGCCCTATAGCTTGTCACTGTGGCGGCATGGTCAGTGGAGCGGTCTTGTCCTCCGTGCACTGGAGCGACGTGCCGGTCACGCTTGATCCTGTGCGACGTGGGAGCTCCTGTGGTGGTAGGCGCGCCTTCTTCTATTGGAGGCGTGCTGGTTACTGTATGTTTGACCGGCGCGGAGTGCCGAGGCCGGGTTGATGCGATGGCGCGGGTACGCTGATTCCGATGCTACAGGAGCCAGGCCTTGTGCGCGACATGAGGGCTCCTGCAGCCTGACGCAGGGTATGGCGTGTTCCGCGGGCGACGTGCCGATCCCAGAGTGCTGACAACGTAAAGAGCCGAGACCCAGCCGATGCAGAGGCTGGGCTGTCATGGGGGGCTCGGCGGGCGCGAGTCCCGAGGCTACAGGAGCCCGGAAGCGGATAGCCGAGGCTCGGAGGGAGCAGTTGGTCTTGTTCGTCAATTCCGAGGCTACAGGGACCTGGACTTGACTCTCCACGCCGCGCTGTCCTTGGAGCAGGGGTTAGGCAAAGACAATGCAAGACGGGTGTCGGCCGTGGGCACAATCTTCGAGCAAACAAGCCGACGAAACCCCCGCCCCCCCCCTGTCCCGGACTACGTGGCGTCGATGTGACTCCCGTCTCGTCGGCCACTCCATTTATCTTGTCTTGAGCGACGCGGTGGCGACGCCGGGAGTGGTTGGACGCGTTGGTTGGATGTGACATCCTGTCAGAGAAATCGGTCAAGGCGACGGTGATGGGGTTGATGCCGAGGCGGCCTCGAGCGAGTCGGTAACTGAGTGCTCGTCCGAGGCCTCGTGGCACGGGGCCTCGGGCGAATTGGAGAATCGGTACCTCGTCCGAGGCCTTGCGGTGTGGGGTCTCGGGCGAGTCGGAGAATCGGAACCTCGTCCGAGGCCTTGCGGTGTGGTTCTGGGCCGAGCCCGCTTCGGGCGAGCCCGGATATTTGTTTGAGGTGGGCCGGGCGGTCCAGCCGGGCCTCGGATATGGCGGGTTTACCTGCGGTTGTTTTTTGGTTTCGTTATTTTTACAAGGCCTAAACAATTTTTTCGGTTCTTGTTTAGAGTACCCCTTTTTATGGTATCCGACACAAAATACAAAGATGGCGCGCAGAGTCCGTAGCTGTTGAATGCTTTCACGGCGAAGCCCGAACGCCGGCGGCAGCAGCGGCTGGCGGCCGGCGCGAAATGCAGAACGTAGGCACCGCTGTCCACGCTGCTTCTTTTCCAGGAACGAAATGGGCAGAATCACAGCCAGGATGAGATCGCCAGATCGCGCCTCGCGAGTTCGTGAGGCAGACCATAGACGAAGCGAGAGCGGCGCGGCGGTGGCTGTTGGGGATTGGGATCGTGACTTCACAACGCACCCAGCGGACTTAGCGGGAGGCAGCAAAGCATCGTGTTTTTTTTTTTTTCTTTTTACATTATATACACAGATGTATTACTCGTGTTGGCTGGACCGTAGAGTATGTCGGTGCATACCCGGCATACCCTGTAGATCCGTCACTGGGTGCACGTGCGCTTGTCCCGTGGGTGTAATGATTTATGATTTGTTGGTGTAAATATGGTGAAAATTTGATATTTATCACTGTTTTTTAATTTTTCCATGGCAGGCAGAACCACAGTGGTGCACGTAGCTCCGCCCATGGCAGGCAGAACCAGCTCAACCTCCAGAGCAGCAACAGCAGAAGCAATAGGCCGAAGCAACTCCACCCCCGGAGCAGCAGCAGCAACAACAGAAGCAGCATCTCCACCTCCGGTGGTGCCGAAGACAGTTGCCTTGTTCGGAAAAACTCAACCACCGGAGGCGGTAGGATGGCTAAAAGCCTGCGGGAAGAAGGGGCAGTCGGCTGCTCCTGCAAGAGAGCACAGCCATGCGATCACGACGCTGAGGAGGGCATTATCCTATGTTGATCTCGACCGGCCCGAGGAGGAAGAGTGGTTCGTTCCAAACGAATATGTAAATGGGATGCCATTTCTCACCAAGAAAGAATTAGCTGATGGTCCATGGGAAATGAGGAGGTGGCACGCGCGACTGGTACATGCAGGCCTCTGCTTTGTGAATAAACATGGTCTACGCGAAGATCGGTGCAGATGTGCCTGGTATGCATGGGCCGTATTCGCGGACATGGAACATTTACCACTTCAAAAAATTGGACGCTCATCTGGTGACCGTTTGGTGCCTGTAAGTGTCATGCCGCTTATTAATCATGTAATTCTAATCAAATAGTATGCATATGTCATATTCTGCTGGATGTGGTTGCACTTCCGAATGATATCTTCTGCATTCTTCACGGCGCGCGGTCGGCCAATAAAATCCTTGTTTAAAGGCTTTATCCACCAAAGCTCTAGGGGTAGCATGATTGCCACAAACTCCCGATTGTCCAACCATTGTGCCACTATCTTTGTCATCACAGGTGCAAGAACTGATGGCCCAGCAAAGTCCAATCTGAATCTCGATGTCTACCTTTGCAGCCCCCAAAGCACGTAGGAAGCTCATGGCCTTGTCCCGAGACCACCGCCACACCAAAGCCCGGGAAGGACCATTTCTTCACCTATATAAGGAACTAGCAGGTAAGACACCATCACAAGTTCCCATAAACCACATAGTCACAAAGCATCTCTAAACACCATGCCTCCGAACTAAGAAGAACCAACCATGATCCATCCTAAGAGGATCGTTCAATTAGCAAGGAAGTGGCAAAGGCTCAAGACAGCAACCAGAGAGACGACGACAGATGCTGCACCACTTCATCAATTGCAGACAAGGATCACTGCACCGTGTACACTGCGAACGGGAGGAGGTTTGAGGTCCCATTGGCATACCTCGGCACAGTAGTCTTCAGTGAGCTGCTGAGGACGATGTCAGAGGAGGAGTTTGGGTTCACAGGTGACGGCGGCAGGATCACACTGCCTTGTGATGCAGCGGTGGTGGAGTACGTGATGTGCGGATCTACAGGGCATGCCAGGTATGCAGCGGCGTACCCTGCAGTTCTAGATAGTAAAGGACGTATACATGTATTTTTGTAAAAAAGAAAACAAGAAAAACATACCGGAGAAGATGATAACGTAGTGGCCGCTGCTACGGCCTTGCCGAGACGGCCTTTTTCAGGCCCGTGCAGTCACACGACAGGAGGTCCACGTAGTCACGCCTTGGAGGATCCTGATACACACGTCTTTGATTCTAGGCTCCACCGCTCCAGGCTCCGGCCATCATTCATTGATTCACCCAAACTGCTCTTTTGCTACTTTTTTTTTTGAGGGGATGCTCTTTTGCAGTTTTGCTACCTACTGGCTCTACGTGCACGTAAAACCTAACTGCCTGCAGATTACAATGATTAAAAGGTATTTTCTACAATGCTTTCCGTTTAGTAAAAATAAATTTAAAAAATAAGATGGGTAATCTTTTAAATGATTGTCTAGTCAATAAACAACACATTTTCTTTGTAGTGGATAAAAATGATATAATCGAGACATTTATTGTAAGATAAATAGTATTGTAAGCCTCTTACTCTCTTTTTATGCCTATTTTATATTTTGAATTATTAGTTTGACGTTTGAACTATTTATATTATAATTTGTAAATGTTTTCAATTTACTCTTCAAATTCAAGATTTATCGTGTTATTTAGTTGACAATGTTTTCATTTGAATTCGTTTATGAGCCTAAATATTCATTTCGATCCAAAGTGACATAAAATGGGGAGGATGAATATCCCAAATATACACAAGCATATTACAGTTGGAGTGTTTAGGTGATGAGCATGTGAAGCAGGAGGTTTGGGGTTCTAGCTGGGTGCCTTGATGCGAAGCAGGAGGTTTGGGGTTCTAGCGCTGGTGGCCATGAAGCATCTCGCTTTCGTCTGAAAAAATTGCATGACCGTGTGGCTGCGTTTTAAAAATAATTCCCTATTTTAGCCCATTTTTTCAGGTTTTCTGGAACCACATCGTCTTTTTAGAACCGCAAAAATTGCATGACCGTGTGGCTGCCAGGTGGGGTCTCTCTTGGTATTTTTTAAAAATAATTCCCTATTTTCAGCCCATTTTTTCAGGTTTTGCAGTTTGTAGCAAAACCACATCATTGTCGGTTTTTAGAACCGGCAACCATTCTCAATCTTTTACTGTCACTTTGAGAAATCTGTGATACGAAGCCTTTGATAGTTTGATGAGCGCCATTATCATCGTCATCTTAGTTGTGCCGGTTTAAAACCCGAGCTAATCGATGGCCTTTAAATCGATTAAAAGGTCAAGCAGGATTTCAAATCTGTACTAGTGTTCTAGCTTAATCGCTGAATTTAAGGCTTATCATGTTAAATATGGCTTACCGGTTTGAAAATGATTTTACCGAATTGCATAAGAAATTTTTTGATGCGGCATACCCTATACTAAAATCCTAGATCCGTCACTGTGCTTGCTCCGAAGAAATTGTAGATCACCGCAGCAGTTTGCAGTTTGTAGCACCTGAAGATATGCAGGGTTTGCAGCTATTAGTGTGATCTATATACTTTGTACAGATGAATGTGTACTACTCTGACATAGGTACAAGGAAAAGAAGGAAATTTTACATTCTCAATCTTTTACTGTCACTTTGAGAAATCTGTGATACGAAGCCTTTGATAGTTTGATTCTTGCAAGGCAGCAGCAAATCTAGCAGGAGCCTTGGAACATGTAGGCAAAATCTGAACGGGAGGTCTGCCGCCTGCCTGGTGAAAAGGAAAGAGAAAAATGAGGAGTAATAATAAGAAAAATGAGGAGTAATAATAAGAAAAATGATTTTTAAAATAAAAGGCCAAAGCTCAGAGGTGCTCATATCATCTGCGACGATGACAAATCGTGAAGACCCATGTGTCACAGAGCGTTTCATCACGGCCTCGGCCATTTTAACTTTGGGGTGAGAGAGGCTCGAACTCTCGACCTCAGGATTTCTCAACAGCTATGAGACCTACGCGCTAGCCAACTGCGCCACCACCCCGTTGTGATGCCTGTGCTAAACAATCGTTATATGTCACGTGCTCGTGCCTTTGACGTGCGTGATGTCGGATCTCTCCGTCTTTGCTTCATCACAAATCAGAATATTAAAGGTCGCCTCAGGCAGGGAAGATGCCGAAATTGCTCTGTCCGTACAAACCAATATCAGGGGTTCAATTTGGATGAAGTAGTACAAGGAGAAATCCATGAAACAAGAAAAGTAAAAACACAAGCAGAGTGTCTTATTATTTGACCACTTTACCATGCACGTATGACGTATCTGCCGCAAATGATACAAACCAAATTTTTGGCTGTCTTGGTCTTAAGCAAGCCGGAAGGAAACAAGGAATCGCAGGATGTTCAACGTGACAAGTCAATGATGCCAAATGCAAATGGCATAAACTCTGAAGAATTCACGGGTTATTGCATCACCATCCTTAATACAATCTTGAGTGTAGAAATTGCTACTAAGGAACAGAAGTGGCCTGAAAAATATATAGCTAGGACTTAGTAGATTCATTCTTTTTATGTCTGACTAAATTCTGGACAAAGAGCTCTCCTGCACGATACGATGACCGAACCTGACAAAACATCCAGCAAGTAGAAAGGTACTACTCCATCCCAAATTGTAAAACGTTTGACTTTTTTTGCCCCAAGTTTGACCACTCATCTTATTCAAAAAATTTGTGCAAATATAGTCAAATTTAAGTCATTCTTGAAGAATTTTTATTAATAAACCAACCCACGACGAAAGAAGTGATATTTTACACAAATTTTGAATTAACTTAATGAGAATGTATCAATCGGATCTACTCTAAAAGGTGATAACTTGGCAATGAGTGGAAGAAAAAGATAGACATTTGATTTTTTTGGTCAAACTTGGTGTCAAAAAATCAAACTTCTTACAATTTGGGATGGATTGAGTAAGTGCTAGTGAGTACTGAATAGCTAACAGCGTACCAGGAAACCCAAATGGCCTGTTATACTGCTATGCTATAAGAAGTTGCACGTCCACCAAACATTTGTTTCTCAAGAACGCTATAAAAAGCACAGAATTCCTTTTCTGAGAATCTGACGCCTTGTTTAGTTGGACCCCAAAGTCCAAAAAGTTGCTACAGTATCTGTCACATCGAATGTTTGCGGCCCATGCATGGAGCATTAAATGTAGACGAAAATAAAAACTAATTGCACAGTTTGGTGGAAAATTGCAAGACGAACGTTTTGAGCCTAATTAGTCCATGTTTGAACACTATTTGCCAAATAAAAACGAACATGCTACAGTAGCCCCAAAATCCAAATTCACCCAACTAAACAAGGGCTGAGATGAAATGTTTGAAAAGAGCAAATTGTGTTATGCTTACCAGAGGTCCACTAGCCACATAAAGAAAACCTAAAGATTCTCCGTAGTCCTTCCAGAAATCAAACTTCTCAGGAGTCACATACTCTCTAACTGTCAAGTGTCTTTCTGTGGGCTTTAAAATCAAGGAGCTTTCAGTGTACAGTGTTATGACAAGAACGGCTGGAAAACTGGGGGGAATACAGGAAGGATAAAAATATTAGAGGGGTGAAAATCAAACCTGTAAATATTGTCCCAAGGTCAGAATATCAACATTGACAACCCTCAAGTCAGCTATTGTTTGCTTCACCTCCTCATCTCTCTCTCCTAGACCAAGCATGATAGAGGACTTCGTTACCATATTCACTCTGCTAATCTTTGCATGTTTCAGAACAGCTAAACTCTGATCATATCTGCAGGGGGGGTAGAAACCAGGGATAACAAAACAGACTTAGCCAAATGCCATTGCAATGATTCACTGGTTTTATAAAACTTGGTTTTGTATAATTATCATTGGACTTCACTTTTTCAAAATTAGGACTTGCAGACATCCATGATTTGTATTGTAGAACTTGACTATAAAAAGGTTTAAATGGGTTCACAATCACTAGGAGTATGTATTGATAAAATTGTACTCTAGATTCCATACAGAGTAGGAACTGGGAAATCTTCTGACAGAAATGAATAAAGATGTGCGTTACCCTGCTCGGGGATCTCTAACTATTCTCTGCAGACTCCTCACAGTTTCAATGCTGTGAGCATATACATCTAGACCAGAGTTCGCTAAAGATGAAACTGCCCCCATGTCACCTCGAAAATCTGAAGTCAAGCACTCCACCAATATCCCAGGCTTCAACTCCTGAAAAGAAAAGAAAAAACAAAATATATTCAGCATGGTAGATGCACAGAATTACCAGTTCACCATTTGCCAACAAGGGATAAACCTTAAGAGCTCGGACTGTTTGAGCAAAATGGCCGCTTCCACCATCAGGAAGGTCATCCCGATCAACACTTGTCAGCACAACGTAGTCTACTCTGCAAAGGACGTTATCTATCAGATAATTTGCGGCATAACCATCGTCTTCAACGCGTTTAGAACTGACAGAGATGATGATACCCCCAACTCGCGACTGCCATGGCTGTCTTCAGAAGCTCCAGGGCATCCGGTGGGGGAGGATTGTTGCTGGTTTTCACGGCGCAGAATCGACACCCCCGGGTACAGGTGTCGCCGAGGAGCATGATCGTCGCGGTCGCAACGCCATCCCCTTCTCCGCCGGCCCCGCCACCTCCATTCCAACACTGACCATCATCGTCAATTCATCAAAACGAAATGAAACCAAAATCCCACAACTGAAGTACCGAACCCACACCACAATCTAGAATGCACCGAATCTGAATGCTGCACATCGATATGAAAGTTTGGTTCGCCCCTACCTCTCCGATGTTGGGGCATTGGGCCTCGACGCAGACGGTGTTGAGCTTGAGCTCGCCGAGCGACTCCCTCAGCCTCGCGTACTTCTCTCCCTGCGCCGCCCGCTGCCGCAGCCACGCCGGCTTCTTCACCTCCGGGTCCCGCCCCGTGTACGGCCCCGGAGGAGCCCAACCCACCGACTTTGCCTCCGCCGCCCCTTCCAGCTGGCATCGCACCACCGACGTCGACCTGGACCGGACACCGCAGCTCAGGCTCGTGGAGAGCACCCTGACCAAAGGAGAGGGAGGAGACGGCCTCGGCACGAACAGGCTCTGCATTGCGGCGGGCGGGGAAATTGGATGGAACGGTCAACCCTAGGGCGCCATTGCCGGAGTCGTGGAGCCGCAGAGGCGATGGGTTCGAAGTGGAAGTGACAATCGCGAACCAGAGTACGCGGGCGGCGTGGCGAGGAAGGGCAGGATACGGGCAAGGACTACTGTGAGAGGACGGCGACGACGATAACCGAGTCACGTCAGTTTGATCAGTGGCATTCGAAAATCGTTACGGGTCTTTTTAAAAAAAAGTGTATTTTGATAATTAGAAAAAGGTGAAAATTTCTAATCATTAACCAACAATTAACCTGCATGCAAGTTTGGTTTCAAAAAGATCAACGGAGAGAGTAATTTTATAGCATGAGGGCAAGCTACTATCCAGCATGCATGCAGCAGGTGAAGCTGTGCAACGGTGCAGCCACAGCGGCTTGAAGCAGAAGCGAATCGGAGCCAACTTGTTGGCTATCAGAGTTGCAGAACAATCGTTTCCACTTCCACACAACTTTCTTGACGTACACAAACTAAACTGCATCTGGCAAGCATCATCCTTTGCAGCCTATTACAGAACAGAGATAAATGAGCACAGCAATGCCCTCAGGAATAAACTACAGATCAGCAGATAGTGTCACCAACATAGCTATACTAATAACCATACAAATAATAGTAACTGCAGCAAAAGAACTTGTTGATTAAATTGTTCAAGCACATCACTCCTGCACCTTCCATATATCCAATTGAAGCAAGCATCACAAGAAACAAACGGGGGTGTCTAGTTTGAGGAATATAGTCCACCATCTTTTCACTCCTCGCTTTTTTTTGTTTGGTTTACAGAGTCCGAGTGGAAAAAGTTGATCCATCGCCACCTTATTCCTCACAAACTGATAATGAGGAATGGGTCATTACACAAAATTTGAAGAGCAGGCTAATGATGCACTAACTCATCTAGAATGAGGTGATTCCTCAAACCAAACACCCCCTAAGCTGTTGCTATCCGCCCACTAATGTTCTCTTCTTTGGGAGAGAATAAGTCAACTAGCTTACCTCCAATTGATGTTCTGTTCACCACTACACAGTTACAGCAGGATACATACATGAGGGCGATGTATGAAAAGACAGACCTACATAAAGTTGGTTTTCAGTCTATAAATATAACATCTCGATCCTACAGTCATATCCTGAATGCTAACTTCACTGAGCCAATGGAACTTCTCCAAGCTCGCACCTTATGATGAGATCACAGGCATGTCTCCAGATATAAGAATTGCCATCTGAAGACAAAATGCCATATAAATCAAAACAGATGACCATCGGGTCTCTTCGGTGGTGTTAACCTGGAACTGATTCAGAATTGACATGTCCACGACTAGCATCAGGACTGAAACCAGGTACATGCGTAGATTTCCGAGCAAAATCTAGCAGTGTCTGACGATGCTGTTCACTAGTATGAGGAAGACTTGAACGCAACAGCTCAACAGGCATCTCCCTGCTGACTGCTTTGGTGGTTTCAGGTCCACCCATGGAGCTGGATCCCTGCATGGCAAACCTCTGCACAATACTTTCATACTTGCTGTCACAGTACTTTGTCAGCAGTCCAAAGAAGGCATCAAATGATGCTTGCCAAAGTGAACGTGCTGACCTGCTGTAGTTAGCTGCGGAATGAGGATCAGCCAGTAGCTCGGTCGCTCTATCCAGCACAGATTTGATTACCAGAGAGGCCCCATCACCAGCAGCACTACCAAGTGGTCGGAGAGGTGGCTGCTGCGATGAACAGACAACAGCTGCAAGGCAGGCACTGAGAGCACTGAGTTCCATATGGTGCACACAAGAGGAAACAGTCTTGGCAAGACCAATGGTTGTTTCTGCAGCACTAGAGTCTGACGGCAAGCCCCCAAACAAGCTCCTAAGATGTCGGAAAACAGCCATGCAAACTATCCGGGTCAGCTCACTTCCAGAGACAAGAAGTCGAAGATAGCGTGCCAAAAGTTTGCGTCCTTTGGGCAGAGAAACAATACGAAGAAAAATTAGGTCATCCTTAGGGGCTAATCCACCCGAATGGCCAGGTTTGTTGGGGCCAAAAGGGTCAACAAGCTGAAGTGATGTAGCTAAGCCTTCAAGCAGGACCTGTCGCCTTCGCTTCAGTCGGAAACTGCTGTCCTGTGGCTGGCTAGACTGTAAAAATCGATCAATATCATCGACATCCAGAAGAAGACGAAGAGAATCTTCAACAGTTATTCTGGCTGCAAGCATTGGCTCTTTCTCCAGTGGCCTTGTGGACGACTTATGATCATAAAAACCATCACCAGATCCAGGCAAATCAGCTTCAAGAAGAGGGCGAGGTCTACGTATGGCAGAGAATGAAACTCCTCCATTAGCGTCGACCTGTAGATATGAATGCTGATCAACACCAGACCGGGATTTTGAGGGGAAGTCCTTTATTGACATAGGGCAGAAATTGGACTTCTGAGAAGTTACAGATCTTTTGGCTTTGCAAGCTTGGTGGTAGTAGTCATCGATGTAAGGATCGTTGCTGTGATTTGCAGAGTGCTGCATTTTTAAGATACTTTCAATCTCTTCAGATGACATGTACTTGGATCTGAACTTTATCCCTGAACTCTCACTATTCTGGCTACCTGCATCAGAAGGCTGTTGAGAAAAGCGTGTGTTGTGCTTTCCTCTTCCTGACCTTGATCGCTTGTCTCTTGGTGAAGGAACATCAGGAGATTGGTGGTGATAGAATAGGTGAGGCTGCATGTTTATGTAATTCTGAAGAGGCGGCTGGCCTGGTGGTAATCTCTGGTGCTGCTGAGAAAAAAGCAATGAAGACATTGAACTACTTGGAAGGGATAACTGTGGCTGCAATAAACTGGGCCGCCGGTTAAGATGATCAAAAGCAAGTGGGCCAGCTTGGTTTGACCACTCATTTTGTAGGACATTGTTCATTGACAGATCTCCAGTGGTATAAGACATGCTTCGTCCATAAGGCAGTCCATGAGATAGACCAGGCATATGATATGGGGAACCAGAAAGCGATGAACTCGGAGAACCCATGTGGTGACCAGCACCAGGTGATGGAATGCTTGAGTGCCGTGTAAGACGTTGACCAGGATAAGGCAATGCAGGACTTCCACCTGGTGGCGGATAGGATGTAAACGAAGTAGATCTGTGTAAAAGAATAGGTTCACTTGAGCGGTGCTGTAGTGGTTGATTGGGATATGAAGATGTACGAGACAGTGGTTTAGACTCTCCAAAGTGAGGCGAAGATTGCAGCTGCGAGCACCATTGTTTGCTGTCCAGGGATTCATCACCGTCTAGTATATCCTGATCTACCCAATTGGAGAAGTCAGCATCTTGAGCCCAATCAGCAGTAAAAGAACCTGAAGGAAGACATTATATGGCACAGTGAATATTGGCACTTAATAAGAATATAAAAATGTAAAAGGTGACATCACACTTATATTTCTAAACAAGGCAACATATTACTATTGCATTGATAATAGTGATTCAGAGATCACACTTGCAACAGGCTGATGGTCAGCCCAAGCACCTAGACATTGGGACATGAATGCGGTTTTTCTTTTTCTTTTACCAATGGCAAACTAGAGATTATGTGCCTTTCTCCTAAATATTATATATAAATATGTGGTGTGCCTTCTGATAAAATAAACATTACTTTGGATTGCCCATCAGCAAAATATCTAATCTTCAGAGTGCCATAGCAAGTGTAACATATTTACATTGTCAAGAGCTATTTTAGACTAATAAGAATATACAGTGTTCAAGATGTAACCTATAATGAAACCAGATACAAAATGAAATCATGCCATATCAAAGATGGGTAGCTAAAGCAAGGTGAGTAAATCACTAAATCATTTGCAGTGCAAAGGTAAAGATTAAATATAATAATCTTGTCCTCGACTTATGACGTAAACTTGTGCGATGTTAAGCTTTAGTGGTAATGGAGGGCAGAATTGTTACTTACTTTCTCTCGAAATTGATCGTCTATCACCAATAACACCAGGATTCCTTGTTCCACTAATACTTCGGTTCAACTGAATATGTGAAGTGTAGGAAGACAGAAAAAAGAATTATAATATTATAATATTATAAAAGAGTATAATAATGAATAATTTAAAGCATCGTGAAGCTACTGACCACATAATGAAACTTCAAAAAAAACTTTAAGGGAGAGGGCAATGTAATTTCAAGATCCACAACATAATCTGAGCCTATGACTAGATGAATTCGACTATTCGAGAATAATTTGTCACCTAATCTCTTTTATGTGCAAGGCTAAAAATGAAATGGGTTGTGAAAGGTGGTATACACAGACTTTTTTTTCTTATTTTTAACATTTTGACTTCTATATTAAGGGAAAGCACTATAGTGAGTAAATGGCATAGCTTAAGAAACCTTCAAACACCTGCTCGCCAAACAGACATTTACTATCAGGGATATAGTAAATATATATGAAATAAATATATCTTCAATACTTAGGTAAGCAGAAGACACAAATTGAAGCGATCACTGATCAAGCTAGTGGAATAAGGCACTAACCATTGCAAAAGTGCTTGCAAGATCATCAATTTCCGACAAGTTACTCATACAATCAATCTGCAGGAAGACAGAAGGCAAACAAATGATCATGATGAAATATAGAAAGAATAGGAGCAAACAGGAAAAGGAACTTTGGGAAAGGAAAGAGCAAATGCCCCAAATAGTTGGGTTCGATTTGGTCAATAGTTAATTCTTACGATTACCTATGAAACAAATTGGTCGCACGACCTTAGCTCTTCATCAAGAATCTAATGTTAAAAGTTAAGTAGCTAATCTTACATATCGTTGTACTCCCTCCGTACTAAAAAATAAAGTCATTTTGGACAAGGCTTGGGTCAAACATTGGGAATATAAATCATGAATAACTTTTAAGTTGTTGAGTTTGGAAATGTGAAAGCCATATAAATAGATTTGTCTTGAAAAAAAAATACTTTCATAAAAATATACATATATCACTTTTTGATAAATATTTTTATAAAAACAAGGAGTCAAAGTAATACTTTGGAGACCGTGTCGCTATCCAAAACGACTTTATTTTTTAGTATGGAGGGAGTATACTGTAACCCAATCAAAGCAATCTAACTGTGTTCAAACTTCAAAGGTATGCCCAAAGGAATGTTATCCAGATCTAGACAAGTACAACAGGTACAAACCATACTCACTGATGAAATTGCCCGCAAGAAAATGAGCAGTTTTGCTCATGAACAGTTCCTACAATAATTATACCTGTCAACACCTTCAAGTGCCCCTTATACCAAAAACAGTAACTGATTACATCATATTTGATTGGGTCCTATTCCCAAATGTATTCCAATCAGTCCCCCAGCAGTTATACACCCATAACTAAACATATTTGTTGAAAGAAACTAAGAAAGAGGGATTTGCATGATAGAGAAAAGGTAACTACAACAATCAAGAACTGAAATACAATGGAAATAAGTAGAAAGGTTGAGTAACAGCATCTATATAAGGTCGACCCGTTGAATCTACCTGTGCTTTAAACACTACAGCAACAGAATGGCAGCAGCTAAAGCATCTACTCCTTTCAAGATGGAAAATTTATTGAACACTGATGTGTCCTACCTGAATGCTCTTACAATGGAAATAGCTTGAAAGGACAAAAACAATTTTATGGAGTAATCAAACACAATGGAGGCTCTGCTAAAATAGTTAGGAAGGCGGAAGGCTAATTCAGAAACAATATCATTAAAAAATATATTTTTCTGCTTTCTTCCACTACCTCAGCCAGACATAAAGCATCATACCTGATGTTATTTATTTAGGTACTTTCAATAATGTTCAAAAAGCCCTAATAACTACTCCCACCGTTCCAAACTTTAAGATGTTTTGGCATTTCTAGACGCAGTGCTTTACTATGCATCTAGACATAGTGTATATCTAAGTGCATAGCACAAGCTATGCATCTAGAAAAGCCAAAACGTCCTACCAATTTGGAATGGAGGGAGGAATGGATGGAGTAGTGAGTAGAAGGAAAAAAAAAAGTTCTACATTTCTTATCCATTTGTCACACATGATTCTATATTCACAATTACCCATAAGAATAGGATTACTTTTAAATGTATGGCATGCCTTTGCCTTTCTACACTAGAGGTATGAATCTCAATTCCACCAAATATTGAGCCTGAAACCTAAAAGTTAGACTGCACAATTTGGTCTATTTGGTGCAGAAGTATCCACTACCACGCATCAAAATCACATGCTACCACTCCTACCGCAGAAAATATAGCTCAGGTCACTCTCAGCTCTCGCTATTCATTCCAATAGTAACAAGCACCAACAAAACAAAACAAAACAAAACCTTCTGAAACATTCCGTGCACAAAAATCATTAAAAGTGGCAAAGCCAACTTTGCAAGACATCAAGGTACCCAGAGCGCACCTCTTCGCCGGTAGAAGAGAACTGGTAGCCACCATCATCAGGTCCACCGAATCCGCCACCATCGCCGTCGACACCTCCATCCAAAAGCCCACCGAGCTCCGCCCCCTGCATGGGCGCCTTGCCGAAGGAGTACTGCGCCGCGTCGAAGCGCGAGTTGTCTGCAGGATAAGGAAAAGGAAGTGACGAATTTAGCTAATCGAGTCCAACAACCCGAAAAATCGTCAGGCGGCAAGCGCACCAGAAACGACGACGCAGCAGGGACACCGCTAAAATCCCGAGGACGCAACAATCAAAACGGCACTAGACAAAATCCCAACAAAATCACTCCGAAAATAGCCGCAAGAAAGGATCACCTGCGGTGGAAGACGAGGACGGGCCTCCGCCTCCGCCACCGCCACCGCCACCGCCACCGCCGCCATCCGCCCTAACGCCCCTCATCGCCTCGTCTCCCTCGCGGCGGCGCGAATGGGCGCTAGGGTTTGGGTTCCCGCGTGGGGTTTGGATCTGACGAGAGCAGGGGAGAGGAGCAAGGCGCACAGCTCGCCTCCGCTCACTCAGTCTTGCTTGCTTCCCTTCTCTTCTCTTTTGGACTTAAACCAAATAAACCCACAAGGAATATAGAAAATCGAAAAAAGGACCCAAATTACGGCCGGAAATAAAAAAAGGTTAACTGAAAATCTATCCCATTTATAGAACATCTGAAAATGATATGGTAGGAAGGAAGCTGAATTAATCGCGAAACGCGAGGATTGTGTGGAGTGACAGATGACATATTGATTAGCGCTAATACGGAGAAGACTTGTCTTGGCTTGCGTGTTACTCTACCTAGATTTCTTTATGGACCCTCTTGCGTGTTTTTTCTGGCTTTCTGTCTCCGACGGGCCGTTGGTTTGCTTTCTCTCTCTTCGGTGATCATTAGTCAAATCACGCACCTTTTTCTGTTAACAATAAAACAAACCATTTGCAGAATGCATGACCGTTTTAGGGCATCTTTGGATATACCATGTTATATTCCTCTGCTCATCGCACATGAGTTTTTGCCCTAGAAAGCTTTTTTTTTTTGCTTTTAGTTCATATATCAAAATAACAATGGACTAAATTTTATAGCTAACTAAATTCTAGTTCTTGGTGATCTAAACATGACAAGCCCTTATGCGAGGAACGGAGAAATGTGTTTCTCCTACTCAACTTGATAATGTTACTGACTTACGGTATAAGCAGACCTTGTGGGAACTTGGAATAACATACTCCCTCTGTTCCGTATTGATTGTCGCTCTGGCACACTTCAGCTCTGTCCACGTTCACGCCTTGTGTTGTGCATCTGGACCATCCATTTGTCCACATTCACAGGTTTTGTGCTGCACCTCCTCAAAAGCTACAACGACACTGATAAAGGAATAGAGGGAGTAACTTTTTTTTGTCGTATCTAAGAAATACCTTTTCCCAAGAATTGATTGTGAGCTAAAGCATTTATTTTCTGTAATACTTTTTGTAATGGTTGACGAGATTATACGGTCTTTGTATCATTGGTCGTTGCGTCCCCTGCGAAAATGTGATAGCGAATTCAACTATCACGATTCACAAGATATTAGACTACCCACAGTGTTGATAAAACCTAGGCTGGATTATGAGCGAGAAAGTTCAAGTATCGTCTCATCCCATTGCACAATACGATGTTGAGTTTAAAAAAGCAAGCAGCGAGTCAAAGTAGATACACCAAATAAAAAAAACTATCACAATAGTTCGTTATAGAATGAGAGAAATAAGATTGACAAAATAGCCATGCACGCATTTTGACATCGATATTGATCTTGTTGTACAGTGTGTGAGGTTTAGTGTTCTTAGCGTAAGAAGTTGTGGCGTACAGGTACATTTTCAGTATCGACTATACTGCGAGCAATCTTAAGTTACGTGTCGACTATACTGCGAGCAATCTTAAGTTACGTGTCGGTGTTTCGAATAACCACCCACGAGTAAATTTTTAATATTGCTCGTCTGGTTCGGATGATGTGTTTAGAGGACATAAGGTTTATACTGATTCGGACGGAATATCCCTACGTCCAGTTCGTTACTGCTGCTCGTGTTACTAGCACTGAAAATTTGCAATAGGGGTTTCAAACGGACGAGAGAGGGACGGGTCACAAGTCTCTGGTGGAAAGAATAAACGGGTGCCGAGAGCTCGATCGTGTGCTTGTGTTGTGTTCTGATCGGTTCGAGGTTTGATGGGTTCGTGATGGTTCGATTGGGTCTGGCCTGAATCGATGCGATGCAAGTCGTCTCTCGGTCCTCCTAATGGAGCGTCCTGCTTTCCCTTTTATAGGCCAAGAAAAAGCACGGGTTACAGCGGAGGGAAAAAGAGAAGAAACAGAGAGAAAGAGCCGAAGGCCCTCAGGGTCGTCGGGTCCTTGTCCTTCATGCGGGTCCCACCGACACTGTAGATGTCACACAGGGACGGCACCATGCCATGGTCTTGTCCATCACTGGCGCCATGCGCAGGCGTCGTCTGCCGGTCATGGCGCTCCACTCCGTCCTGACGGACGTCGTGGTGAACCGACATGCCTGTCAGTGCTCGTACGATGGTTAGGCAGAACAGTACCGGTACGCCCGACACTGTTCTTGGTGTGGATCCCCATGTATGGCCCGTCGTAGCCGCGGGTTACATCGAGGCGTGTCGGTCTCTTTTTTGACGTCAGAGCTTTGACCCAGACCCATACGCTTGGACCTGGAGTGGTTGGCGGCGGTATGGGTCTCCGTCGGACGATGCGGAGCCCGCAGCCTCAGGGTCGGGCGAGGCGGAGCATGAACCCAAGGGTCGGGCGAGGCGGAGCCCGCAGGCTTTGGATCGGGCGAGGCGAAGCGCGACCTAAGGGTCGGGTGAAAGGTCCTAATATGGCTAGAGGGGGGTGAATAGCCTATTTAAAAATCTACAAATCAATTAGTGTAATTTGATTAGTATAACAAATAGCAAAATACAAACTTGCTCTAACTCTACAAGGGTTGCAAGCCATCTATCCAACAATTCTAGTTGATATGATCACTAAACACACAATTTACTATGTCACTGCTCGCTAAGAGCTCTCACACTTGCTACACTAAAGAGCTCCACTAGATGAACTTGAACTACAAAGCAAACTCTCAATTCTAGCTACACTAAAGAGCTTGCTACAACTAGTTTGTAAGAATATAAATGAGTGAGTAGGGTGATTATACCACCGTATAGAGGAGTGAACCAATCACAAGATGAATACTAAATCAATCACCGGAAGAATACCAAAGGGCAAGAGACAACTAATTTTTCTCCTGAGGTTCACGTGCTTGCCGGCACGCTAGTCCCCGTTGTGTCGACCAACACTTGCTGGTTCGGCGGCTAAGAGGTGTTGCACGAATCTTGTCCACACAATTGGACACCGCAAGAACCTACCCACAAGTGAGGTAACTCAATGACATGAGCAATCCACTAGAGTTACCTTTCGGCGCTCCACCGGGGAAGGCACAAAACCCCTCACAATCACCGCGATCAGAGCCGGAGACAATCATCAACCTCCACTCGACGATCCTCGCTGCTCCAAGCCGTCTAGGTGGCGGCAACCACTAAGAGAAACAAGCGAATCCCGCAGCGAAACACGAACACCAAGTGCCTCTAGATGCAAACACTCAAGTATTGCACTTGAATTCTCTCTCAATCTCACAAAGATGATGGATCAATGATAGAGATGAGTGAGAGGGCTTTGGCTAAGCTGACAAGGTTGTTATGTCAATGCAAATGGCCAAGAGAGTGAGCTTGAGCTGGCCAAACGGTATTTATAGACACCCCCAAACAATAGAGCCGTTGGCTCAATTATTGGGCTGACTGCGCATCGACCGAACGCGCAGGTCATGGCGATCGGACGCACCGCTCGTGTATACTGAACGCGTCCAGTCGCTACCTGACCGCCACATGTCCAATTTCAAAATAAAGTAGCCGTTGCTGCCATATTCAATCTACGATCGGACACGCTGTTTAGAAACAACCGGACGCTGAGCCGCAGCATCCGGTCGAGTCTAGAGAGCACCTAGGGCCGATCGGACACGTCCGGTCACTCCGGACTGGACGTAGGGTACTCAGTGTCCGGTCAAGTCCAGAGAGCTCCCAGAGCCACTCTGGGCCGACCGGACGCTCCCAGCGTCCGATCAACTATTACGCTGAACACCGACACTCGTTGATCAACTTTGACCAGATGCTGAAATAGTAACTCTCCAGCGTCCGGTCACTTCACTGAGCCAGAGTCCGATCGTTAATACCGGACGCGCCCGGTCGCCATACCGGACGTGTCCGGTCACTCAGTGACCAGCGCGACCAACTTCTTTTCAACTCTATCTTCTTCACCCTTGCTTAAATGTGCCAACCACCAAGTGTATCACTTTGTGCACATGTGTTAGCATATTTTCACAAATATTTTTAAGGGTGTTAGCACTCCACTAGATCCTAAATGCATATGTAATGAGTTAGAGCATCAAGTGGCACTTTGATAACCGTATTTCAATACAAGTTTCACCCCTCTTAATAGTACGGCTATCGAACCTAAATGTGATCACAATCGCTAAGTGTCTTGATCATCGAAATAAAATGACTCCTACCACTTATACCTTTGCCTTGAGCCTTTTATTTTTCTTTATCCTTTTCCAAGTCCAAACATGTGATCATCATCATGGCATCACCATCATCATGTTATGATCTTCATTTGTTTCACCACTTAGAATGTGCCACCTATCTTATAATTATTTTAATAAACTAGGTTAGCACTTAGGGGTTCATCAATTCACCAAAACTAAACTAGAGCTTTCAATATCTCTCTTTTTGGTAATTGATGACAACCCTTACACAAAGATATGAATTGAGATTTAATTAAATCCACGTTGCTTGCCCAAGCATATTTACCATGTGTAAAAGGATATGGACAAGTTTCATGAATCCCATATGGTAGCAATTGCTCTCCCTACATATGTGCTAAGAGTTTGGATTGAAGCTTGCACATATGCTTAGATAGGAAATATAGGAGATAATGTTTACCAAATGATGCTAAGGTATAAGAGATGGACCTTTGAAGCATGATACCAATCGAAGTGCACCAATATACCATCCTTAGCACCATTAGTAACTTGACACACAAAAACTAAAATACCCCATGAGATCAACATTAGAAGCAATGGTCTAGTTTTCATGAAATGAACATAAGTCTAGTTACTTAACCTATACATGCTAGTTTTTTATTTCATCATTCAAACCTATAACTAGCATACACCACACAAGCATGGATATTGAAATTTAAAACTTGTGCCATGCAAGCAAAGATATGTAATGCACATTCAAATGCAACATACAAGTTTATGAGCCTGCTCCCCCTACTTGTGTACAATTTATTGATCCCCTTACAATGTTATTTCATTTGTTTGCTCCC